CTCCCACCCCTCCACCCCCTTTCTGTGTACCCTCAGTTGAGCAGCTTTCTCAGCCTCGCCTGTGACTGGGTCATTTCTACCTTGGAACCAACAGACTGTGGGCTCATTGGAACCAAATAAGCCTCTCCTCCCCCAGGCTGTGCGTGTTGAGTATCCTACTTCAGTCACAGAATGTGAGCGAATACAGTTTTCCTTAAGTAGTGGCCTCCTCCACCTGGCTCTTCATGTAGAACTCAACTTCTCCTTGCACCAAGTTTCCTTCTATAGCAATTTGTCAGCAGCATCTGCAGATGCATCTTGACATATAGGATCCATGGGGGGATTGCGCCCATAGAACATTCAGGTTTAAAACCTGGGCTGGCTGGGTAGATGGCTCAGTAGAATCAGGGCTTGCCTGGCAAGCACAAGGGCCTGAGTTCACTCCCTGGTTCCGCCAAAAAATATAAAAGATGAAAAAAATAAAACCTAGGCTATAGGCTGTTTTGACATACTCAAGACAGGGCCATAATTTGCTTGTACCACCAGGGGTACAAGCCCCCCAGTGGGGCAGTCCTGAGTGCACCACAGTGACCCAAGCCAGCAGGAACTTGTTGAAAGTAACTCCTACTGATTTGATGAAGAGACAGACAGGAGATGCCAAGCCATTGCTGAGATTAGTACAAAAGCATGTTTTCACTTTTAACATTAAGAAAATATACGCAGCAATATGTAGGTACAATCTACTGTATAAGCAGAATTTGGAAAAACAAAACAATAACAATGAATAATCCAATGCCAAATCTCAGACTTGATGATAAATTTGGCTTAATGATTCTTTGGTTTTCTGGTGGTGCACAAGGCTACAAACATTCAACAGAAACCACAGGTTCAGGTATGAATTTTGTTCTTTTGCTGTGCTGGGCATATTCAGCACACAGTCTTTGGCAACACTGGGCAGTGGTGGTGGCAGCAAGCCACAGCCACCAGTCAGCCCCTTGACCACAGGGTGAAGGACTGGTGTCCTGCCAGTGTGGTGAGCGGTGATGCTCAGTGGGTTGCCATGGCGGGTCCTTTTCCAACTCAGAGTACTTGAAGTTTATGGTCGATTCATCGGGACGGAACCCTGTGGTGAGGTGCGGATCATCCATGTTCACTTTACCACTTATACGAGATGTTTTGGGAGAGGGGAGAGGTGGTGAGACGAAGGCAAGCTGGTCGTCATTGGAACCCATGCGCTTTGTTCTCTACCGTGGGCCAGGCAGGGGCACAAGGGAGAACACATGGTCTGCCTTTGACAAATATGAGGATGCAAGATAGGGCTGCACCACTTGAGGCACAAGGCGTGCATACATATATGCAAATACTCAGAGCAGAGGAGGCACCTCTGGGTCCTTCCTCTGTGAGCCTTAATAGCGTCTCCCCTAAATTAGAGATTTTCTCCCATATGGTCTTCATTGACCCTCATCCTACTTTTTCTCTTTTCCTCCTCCTGTTTTCCCTTTATCTCTGAAGTGTGAGGTGGACGTTTGATGTTGTCTTGAGGTGGAGAGCATGCTGAGAATTGACAGAGGGCTGAGGAAGTGGAAGAGCTCGCCACTGCGTGCTCCTCCTGCTGTTCCAAAGCAATGCACCAGCTACCTCAAAGAACTGTTTTTCAAAGTAATTTTTTTATTTTTAAAAGACAATACAAAAAATAGACTTTAAAAAAAAAAGCAGTAGAAATGATACAAAATTTCACTAAACAAAATAAGAATTCAACAATGGTTGTTACATTGCATGTTGTTGTCTTCAAATTAGTTGTTCAGATTACCAGACATAAGGGTGTAGGAATCATTGAATGTCAACATTATTGGGCAAAAAGTCATGGTGAAGGTATCTACCAGAGAGTTTTTTATCATTACAGCAGGAGAGCTTTGGTTTAAATCACAAAGCTTAAATGGTATGGAAATGGTGTACATAAGTACAGTGTGTGTGTGTGTGTGTGTGTGTGTGTCTGTGTGTGTCTGTGTGTGTCTGTGTGTGTGTGTGTGTCTGTGTCTGTGTGTGTGTAGCCTCCTTGATATCAGCCAGGAATTGTTCCACAACTACCACCACCACTTCCTTTTCTGCAGATACCAAAATGAGGGGATTTTTAAGTCTCTTCCAGAAGTGGTGTGGTATTTGCATATAAGTTGTGCATGTCTTCCTGCGTATTTTAATCCCTATGTTACATAACATTTACATCATATTAGATATAGTTATTATGCTACATTGTTTAGGAAATAAAGGCAAGAAAAAAACTATACATGTTCAACATACACAGTTTTTAAGAAAACATTTTTCATTTCCTGTTGGTTGACTCTGGACGCAGGAAGCCCTGGCTGTGGAGAGCTAGCTGTGCATGCAAGTGCTGACAGACAGGAATTCATTCGTAACTTTCACTAGTCTCAAAGAATCCAGACCCCAGCTAGGCTTGAAGAGTTGTCTTATGCCAGTTGTATTTGTTTTGCTTTAGAGGTTTGAGTAGGAAAATATCTGAAGCAAATGACTGTTGGAATTGTAAACCTTTTAAAATCTGAAATGGATTCAAAGGCCTTTTTCCCCTTGAAGTATAACACCTCTTTTTTAGCGTCTTTAGCTGCTGTTTTTATGTACTCAGAATTGGAGTTTGGGTTGCTTAACTCACAGTTGTCATCTCTGGCAGTTGGAATATCTAGCAGACTGATGTCATTTGTTTGCAGAACAGCATCACAGCCTTCTGGGCAAATTCACTGATAAGTCACTGAGCAGGCACAAAGATGATATTTTATGGTGCAATGAGCCATCCTTGCATGGCTAACCTAACTCTAGATGAATGGGAAAACAAAATCTAACCTTTTCAAAGTAGTAAGCCTCTTTAAAGACTGTTTTTTTCTTTAAGTTCCTGAAAACCTAAGATGACTTGTCCTATGTCAGATCTAAACCTTTATCTCTTATTGTGTTTCCTTCTTTCCTACCTTTCTGCTCTGATTATATGGTTTACCTGCATAAAGCAAATCCCAGTTTTGTGTTGTGTAGTAATACCTGTGTGTGCTCCAAGATACCTGATACACTGACTTAGTTTATAATAGCTGTTATCCATGTTTGTGTCATGACTGATTCTCAACTTAAATAGCTGTCGCTGCTATTATTGGTATTGATAAAACCAATTATATTGCTCCAAAGAATAGTTTAATTGCTAGTTATTGCTGCACAGTATGCTTGCTTGTTGGTCCATTTATTCATGAAACATTTGTAGGGGCCTGCCATGTGCTGTACCATACATAGAAGGCACCACCCTGTGCTGGGTCAAGGCAGGTGGCAATCCAAGCAAGCTCGAGATGTGAGCCTCCTTGAGCTTACAGACTTGGAATAAGTAAGCTTGCTTACCCTGAGGAGTTCTCAGCTAAAGACTGTGCCTCTCGGGGGCCTTTAGCAATTCTGAAGACATTTTTATAGCTGTCAGTGATAGGAGATATGACTGGCATTGGGTTTATAGAGGCTAAGGGTGCTTGCAAGCTTTGGATGATGCTTAGGGTAGTCTTACACACACACACACACACACACACACACACACACACAAAGAGAATTATTCGGTAGCACTTTGACTGAGAAGGACTATTTTAGAGGAAGCAATATCCACTCATTCAAACAAATTTGCTTACTATAAGGGGACAAGGGAGAGCAGACCCTGGAGTGTGCTGGTAAATTTAAGACACGCGTGTGTGCCACAGTGTGGTGACTATTATCATTGAAGGCTGTGAAAGATGCACCATCACTGCCTAGATGCTCCTGGGTGAGTCAGCTCTTACTGACTAATTCATATCAAAGCTGAAGACCAGTTAAAGGGGTGGAACTTCCTTCATCTCGAGTACATTTCCAGGAAAGATTCTCAGAAAGGTTGGCATCTTGGAGGCTATCTGGTTACCCCCTCCTTTAATCTTTAGGAGTTTGCAGTTCAGGGAAGAAGAAGAATTAGTATACCTAAAGCTATGCTTCTGCATGGTAAATACCAGGAGGTCCGATCTGGCTTCATTCACATCTGAGGTGACGTTTGAACAGGAACTTTGAAAGAAGCATTCACCATATGTCGGAGAGAAGACACTCCCTTCTTTAAACCCATAGCCCGCATTTATAACCAGTGATGGCATGTTTTTGGCTCCTCTTTCAGGAAAACCTGCTTCTGTATTGTACTGCGAGGAGCAAGAGTCTAGATTTTACAGGCCCAATTGCGTGGTATATTTTCCCCATCTCTTCTTTCTATTAAAGATTTTTGTAGTAGGTGGTTTCAATTGTGCCATTTTAGATGTTAGAAATCAGTGACAGTGGGAGTTGCAAGCTTTCACCAAACAAATTACTTGTCTTGTATTGTTGACATTAAATCTAATAGTTTTCTTTAGGCTGTGGCCTTAGGTAGCTTGAAAATATATAAGAAGTATGTATCACATTCTGAGCTGGCTTTTCTACATGCATTTCAAATCCAATCTATTATTCTAACACAGAACTGAGTCCTGGAGGAACATCAAACAGAAAATTAACACTACAGGCTCCCATTAAATAATGTGATACTAGGAAATATGTCTTTAACTTTGTGAAATGATTACACATTGGTTATAATAAAGAAAAATGGTATTGATGTTAAATTTCTAGTACAAATGAGTAGTGGAGTCTTCATAATGTTATTACACTGTGAAACTTTGGGATTGCTCTGTTCCCTCGAAATTGTTGATTTAAGATGACTACGTGTTACGGGAAACTCTTCTCTCTGAATTAGAATGGGCTGTGACATTATCTAAAAAGCAACTTTGTGCACTTGAAACTAGCTTAAAGAATTTGCCCTTTCCTCGTGACTTTATGGAGAATTTTTACTAGTGTTTTCATGTTAGAAATAGAATAGTTCAATTATTCTCACTCTGGGTTAGAGTACAAGCTGGATAGTTATAAAGATTACATATATACATATATATACATATATATTATATTGGTTTCACTCTTCATCAAAATAGTTTTCTGTTTTCTTTTAGTCTGATGCCAATGCAAGTTACTTAAGAGCAGCTCGAGCTGGACACCTAGAAAAGGCCCTTGACTACATAAAAAATGGAGTTGACATCAACATTTGCAACCAGGTTAGTTGTGCTTCCTGTTGTTATTTAATTTTTTGGTTAGTATTCTGAAAATCATGGCTTTAAACTCCTTAAGACGTTTATGAAATGCTAGTAAGATCGTGATCTTTTGTCAGTTTTATGTTACAATTTACCAGCTTGGCCTTGTCAAATTATTCTCCACTTTGTTAGAGGCATATTCACAAAGGTGTCTGCCTATTCTTTAATAATTTGTAGCATTTAGTAAAGGGAGTGGGCAACCTACTGAGTTTTTAAGTACTTATTCCTCAGTCCATTCATAGAATGTGGACATGCAAATGATTTTCAGTGGGATTTTATCTTAGGTGTTCTTGATAGACCCTTGAGTGTTATATTTTGAGTCTCCTAAGTAAAAAGCTTTCTTTTCACTTTTAATCAGAATGGGTTGAATGCACTCCATCTTGCTTCCAAAGAAGGCCATGTAGAAGTTGTTTCTGAACTGCTACAGAGAGAGGCCAATGTGGATGCAGCCACAAAGGTCAGTGCCACGTATTTAGTGTTTTGCATGACATTTGACTAGCTTAATGAGGATCTGGTTCTCAGTTAGAATCGGGGTACTCTTGTCACGAGATACTTATCAACTTTCTTCTTTTTAGCGAACTTTAAACATAGAGGAACTGGCAGGCGTCGGTGTTGATGTGTGCTTATTTGCATCTTACAGAAAGGAAACACAGCGCTGCACATAGCATCTTTGGCTGGACAAGCAGAAGTGGTCAAGGTCTTGGTTACCAACGGAGCCAATGTCAATGCACAATCTCAGGTAAGCCTACATCTCTACTGCAAAGAAATTTTGCTGTAATTTACAAACAATGTTCTTCGGATCAGTGCTTGCTTGGTTGAGCATCCTCTAATAGCAAGTCTTAGGAACTCTAGCCAGATAATGACATTGGTGTGGGTTATTTAAATTCATATATATTCTCATTTGCAGTCCATAAGCCTGAGAGTTGAAGACTTTTAGCAGTGATCCATCTGTGAAACTTGGGGACTGGTAATTACACACAAGCATTTAAGCTGGGATTTCTTTCTCTCTCTTTTTTTCTTTCTTTGTTTTTGGCTAGCTCAGGCTGCCTTAAGGGTGAGTCTGGTAAGGCATGGGGAGCTGGGGATCGAACCGGGGTCCCCTTTGCCTGACTGGGTTTGTCCTAGCAGGCGCTTAAACAACTGAGCTAAGCTGCAAGCCCCTCTATGTTGGGATTTCTGAAATGCAGAGTCCTATGGTATCTTGCCATGCAAGACCATGTGCAGTCTGTGTATATATTGACACATGAATAGGATGGGAATGCCACCAAGTAAGAAAATGCTTTTGGAAATCGAAGATGCATCACTGCTTTATCTAGTTTGAAAATGGGGGAAAAACTACTTAATTCTTCTTTACTAAGCTATCACTGTTGTTATCCAAAACAAATTAAAAACAGGCAAAAGAAACTAAAATATTCAGTTTGCTTCTTCTTGTACTCAACATAGTCACGGAACCTGTCACTCTCCTGAACTCAGCCTTGCATCAGGTTCTAAAACAAACACCAGTAAAGCATCATTTCAGACTTTGAGCCCCAAAGAATTATTAATTTCACTTTATTTAAAAATACAGATTCTCATTATCACAGCACTTAGTACTTGAGTCCGTACAAGCTCCCTCGGGTAATTCAAACATCATCACAACACAAGAATATCCAGTGAGGACTTGACCTCTTTTAAAACTGTTTTCCAATCCAACTCCTTCCAGTTGAGTGCTAACAGATATCCCTATTTATCAGAGTGGTTCCTGTCTCATTGCTGGCACAAGATATCCAACTATTGTAAGTTAAAGAAGGAGAGATTCACTTTCATCACAGCTTGTAGAGGTTTCCATCCATAGTCTGCTGATTCCAAGGAAGGATGACGTGGCCAAACTGTATGCAGAAAAGAAACAGTCCTTGGCATAGCAGGAGCAGGCAGCCAGCAGGGACCTTCCTTTCCCTTCTGTTCCTTTCAGGCAGCAAGCCTATTGGTAGGTCTCCATCTACACCCGTGGTAGGTCTTCTGTCTTCACTAATTCCCTTCAGTCACACCCAGATCTATGCTTAACCAGTTGTGGACGACAGCTAAAGCCAACACTGGCCTCAAGCTCTCAAGCAATGACCTCCATTTTAAGCACACATAGTTTCATCAGCATTTTCTTCTAGTGGTTGCCTTTGGATGAACAGGGATCTCCTCTGTTTTATGGGTCTCTTTGGTTACACTGACTCCCTTGGCCCTAAGCAGTGAGCACTCTGTGGCTGTGAAATATCAATGCCATGGGAACCGAAGGGTACAGTGCTTTCAATTGCAAATGTCTTGTATGTTTGCTCTAATTTCTTTCTAGTTTCTCATGGGTGGGCCTTTGTTACATAGTCTATGCCAGCTATTCTGATTCTCTATGAGAGTTCAGTTTGAGTAATAATCATCTGCAGAAAAGGATAATAAGAAAAACAGAATATTGACTAGTTTTGTATTCAGAGAGAGGTACAGACCAGCTGACTACAACAAAAGCACCATACTTTGAAACATTTTTAAAAATCATTATAATTTTTCCTATGCCGTGGAAAAGGTAGTGGAGAAAACTCGTTAATGCTTCTTCATTTCCCTTTTTGTCTCCCAAGAAAGGAAAAGTAAAACACATCCTTTTGAACAGTGCATTCTTTCTTCACTAATTCTTCAAGTAGCCATAGCTTTAAGCCTGCTCTGTAATGCCCAGGAGAGCTCTAAAATCCCAATCAGATTTAATTTCATTTTGAGCACATTCCACACTGATGATGCAGGGAGGGCGAAGAGTGCAGCCTATGCCATGCTCCCTGAAGCTGCGCGAGGGAAATCCTGGCCCACAGTGCGCCCCAAGCGCTCCCCTTCCTGCGGACGCCTGTCCTCGCGTGCCTTCTGAACCCGTTGTTCTGAGCACAGAGTAAGAAGCATCACCGCTGGGCAGCGGCGTGGGCTTTCTGCGGCAATTCCTGGTAGCAGTTCTTCTCCAGGGCACTTTGGAAGAGGGTCGGGTGATGCCATGGAAAGAAGATGAAGCGTCATCTGGGCAGTGGCTCGTGCACGTCAGGGGAATGGTAGCGTTCCAGAGAGACCGAGCATTTCCTGAAGGGAAGTTTGAACCTGCAGATAACATTTAATAGCCAGGAGAAGTTGTTTCGGGGCGTTCCCTCTCCCCCTTGAATGTAAAAATCCTCCTTTTTTTTTTTTTTTTTTTTTTTTGGTTTGGAACCAGGAATCAAACTCAGGACCTTGCACTTGCCTTTCCACGCAGGTGCTGTGCTGCTGAGTGCGTCACTGACCCAAATCCTCCTTATCTTTAAAATAAAGTTGGCAGTGCGGGTTATGGCATGGCACGCCTGTGCTCCCAGCACTCAGGAGGCTGAAGCAGGAGCATTGCTATGGGATGCAGAGCAGTCTGGGCTACGTAGTGAGACCCTGTCTCGGGAGAAAGAAAGAGAGACAGAGACAGAGACAGAGACAGAGACAGAGACAGAGACAGAGACAGAGA